TAAGTTCCAGCAGGAAGTTTTAAATTTATAATCATCTTGAATTGGCAGTTTTCGTAGAGACTGAACTATATTAAAAACAAATAAAAACCAATGTTTCAACAAAAGCAAGCATACTTTCCCCCATAGCTGAAGTTGACAGTGGATGCTCTTAGCTACCTAATAGCAAGCCATACAGCCAAATGATATGTGCATCTTCACCTCTTATACCTTCTTGCCAACAAGGGACTCACGGACCAGCAGAAGACCTGAGGTCCATGACCAGGGGGATGGAGGAAACATCAGTCCCTCACAGGATTAGCTTGTTTTCACCCGGTTAACCAGTGTTTGCTGAATTAAACTGAACCTGTTTCAGGGAGGCACATGGCATGATTCTTTCTACTGGAGATGCGGATGGCTTCCCAGGACATAGCCACTTAGGAGTAAATGAATATGTAGTCTTAAAAACAATGCCCTCCCCAGCCTAAATAGCATAAGGATGTCACCTGCAAAATCTGAATTTAAAAACGGGGGGCCTCCAAATACCTTGAGATGTCACTTTATCTGCTCCATCCTCCATTCTTCAGTGTATCTTCTGGGCATTTACACTCACCGCTTGGTATAAGTAGCATTTTCTCCAGATATTGGTTTGTCACTCAGATTCCAGCTCAATTACGGTATCTTGAGAGTTCAAATCTAGTCTTATCTTTTATTTTGCCAGAGTTCAGCTGCCAGCTGGCCTCCTATTGTTTTTTAATTTTTTTTTGTAAATAAATGTTTTATTGGCAATGCACCCAGGCCCAATCACTGACATATTGTCTATTGCTGCCTTTCTGTGATACCCAGTTGGAGGTTTGGACAGGGACCATATGGCTCAAAAAGTCTTCAATATTCACTTATCTGGCCCTTTACAAAAAAACCTTCCAGATTCTTGCTTGTAGGGAAATCTATTCACACATATATTCTGATAAATACCATTTGTATTTAAGTCTTAATAAATGCTGTTTATCTCTAAGCCTTAGTTAAACCCCAAACGGAAAACCTCTGCCCCTGGAGGTGAGATCAGATTGTTGTCATTCCAGCTTCTGCACCAGGGGAGTAAGACAGCTTCCTGTGGGGATGCTTGGGGAATCTCTCGGAACAGGAGCCAAGGAGTCGTTTCATTCCTGTGCTGGCAGCTTCCGTCACTGTAATTTGGGTATTAAAGAAAATGTGACCTAAATTTAAACTCACTGGCTGATAAGACCTGGGCCAGGATTTCCAGAGCCACACTTCTCAGGCAGGTTCACATGCCATTTCCCCTGCTATTTCACTGGCGGTGGGATACAAATACAGCTTACAGACCTTAATGTTCATGGGGTCTAAATGCAGATATTCTGCATGTGGCATGGGTGTGTCCTTCAGGATGTCAATCAAGGGTAGGATTCTACTACTGCCTAAACTATCTGCCTCTAAAAATGCCTTGAGATGATGTCCATTGTGCCTTCTCTGTGTGTGTTAAAGCAAATTCCAGATATTATGTCATCTCCATCCCTACATAATTCTATACACTTTTTAAAAAAGATCAGTTTCTTACATAATTAAATGCCACTATCAGCACTATCAACAATTTCTTTTTTTAAAATATTTTATTTGTAATTATGAATAACAAGGTCTCTGTTAAATTAAAACCTTTCATTTATTTATTTATTTTTGGCCACACCACACAGCACGAGAGATTAGTTCCCAGACCAGGGATGGTACCCGAGGCCCCTCCATTGGCAGCACGGAGACTTAACCACTGGACTGCCGGGGAAGTCCCTCAAAAATTTCTTGATACCATCTAATAACCAGTCTATATTCAAATTTCCTTGATTAAAGTGATGGCTTATCACATGAAGATATTCTCCCTGTTTAAAAAAAAAAAGCTATAAAGTAGTTTTATGTCAGCAGAGGCTTTGATGGCAGAGGTTTTGTTACTTTGTTAATTTGGCAACATTATGCATAAGTACAGATTATTCCTCTTTGCCACTAATTTATGTATCCTTAGGGCACTCACTCAGCTCTCCCCTGCTTCCAACATGTATTCTCCTTTGTCCTAATAAATGTATGAAATAAGCTCTTGATCTGCTGGATTTATAAAGGCTTTTGAAACTTGAAAGCTGCTCTTCCTGTATATTTTCCACAGCCATCTTCTGCTTCACCCTCCTGGCTCTGTGTGGGTTGGGAGGCTGAGGGTCACTGCAGGGTCTGGGGGAAGGACCACACACCAGGTAAAGGTGTGAGCTCAGGGGCGGGGGCAGAGCTGGGGAGCAGAGGGCAGGGAGACTGTCAGAGGCAAGGCTGGAGGGGTACGGAGCAGAATCCACCCCACCTACTTCTTCCGGAAGGAATGAAGGGAAGAAGGAAGAAGGAAAGAAAGGGAGGGCAGGGAAGGAAGGAAAAAAGAAGAAAGAAAATACAAAACAAAAAAACACAAAAATAAGGTGTGTTTGCCTTGAAAACATAAAGGAAAGCTCAGTGATCATTTTTTCATACTAACTGAATCTAATCATTGTTAGCCATTTGGTTTTGGTCCTAACTTTTAAAAATGTATATAAATTTTAATAAAATTTGGATTGTACACAATATCTTATCTAATTTATTTTATCCTCCTACTTTATATAACAGGAACATTTTCCACCTTCATTAAATATGTTTCCAAAACAAAGTTTTTAATAGGTCCATAGAATCCTAACTTCTGGGTATAACATACATTCAGATTGCTTATAATCTATCACCATTATACAAACAAATATTACCATGAACACCCTTGTACCTAAATCTTTGAACCTATCTCTGATGATTTATGTTAAATTCATCAGAATAGAAATGCAAGGTGGAAAGATCAGAACATGTTCCAAACTTCCCCCCAAAAAGTTTGTTCAAATTATACAGTAACTGAAAGAGTGATTGAGCCTGTTTCCCCATAACCTTGCCTAGTACTGTTACTATTTTTTCCTTTTAATCTGAAAACTTAAAAAACAAATTATCATCATTGTACCCATTCCTGCTTTGTTCATGTCCTTTGAATCTTTGACCATTTTATCACTTTATGTCAAAAGGATGGGTAATGTTTAACTGTGGGGATTTGTGAGGGAAAAGTGTAAAAATTTCCAGATCTGTGCTACACCTTCAAAAAGCAGCTTGGCCATGCAAGTGGAATGCAGATTATTTTCCTAGATTATTTGCAAGGCTGAGCTAGCACCCAAAACAGACTGCAAAAATCTTACTTGTTATCAAATGCCAAATACATATTTTCAACATCTAATATTATTCACAGAGTATTGTTACCTTTTCTTATAAAATCTGGCTCACTGCATGGGTTTTGGATTTGCTGCCTAATCTGGATCAACTTTCCATACCTTCCTCCATAGATGTAAGTATCAATCACAAAGTAATTTATGAACCTTTCTGCAACTGCATGCAAAATACAGTACATATGTACAACTTCGAAAATTTTTCTTGGGAGAGAGTCCAAAGCTTTCATCATGTTCTCAAAAGACCCAAAGAAAAGATTACAACTCTTTGATATGGAGAAAATTCCAAGGGTTTATAGAATAGCCATCTCCACAGGAGAAGGCAGGTAATGTGAATGAGTAATATGGATGAGGTATCGGGCACTAGGGAGTGGCAGGAACTGTGGCATCTCACATGTATTTGCACCAACTAAACACAGGAGCTGTTTCTCAGCTCCAAACCACTGTGGTGTGTGGGGAACTGGCCCCAGTGTTTCCTTATCTTAATTTTTTTTCAGAAGAAGCCAGAAATATGGATGTTTACATGAAGTCTTCCAAATTTTATATGCCTCCAATACTTTGAAGTCAAACAAATAATCATTATATGGTACAAATGACTGGTCTGCTGATTTGGCCCTCTGGCTGCAGGCCCTAAAAGAAGCCAGGCATTTCAAAACATAATTATATTCTCTTTAGGTCTGTAATAAGCCAAGATCACCAAGACCACTTAAGAACGAGGCTTCCAATGGACTCTGGTCTGACTGGAGTTTGGGACTTCAAAAGTACAATGGCTAAGTCTACAGCTGAAGCAATGCAGTTGCTGAAAGCAGCAGACCCTGACACCCATCCACCCTTCCCCCAGCCACTGTCCAGTGCTCAACAGAGATCAGTCCTACATCTCTTTAGTGGCAGTAGAGAAAAATGTTCTAGAAGAGGGTATGTCAAGAACCCTAATTGCATGGTTATATAAAACTGTGATTTTCAAGTTGGCAACATTAGCAATTGCTGCATTTTACCTACTGCCAGAATGAGGAAAAGACAAGAAAGTATGGAAGGCACAGAGGAGCTAACCATACCCAGACAAATGACATTTTTATAAAGCCAATTAATCTCTACCTACATAAGGGAGTGTGTGCTATAAAGATACTCTGCAACATAATTCATAAGGGAAAAAGCATTTCCAAATTCAAGTATGTCATAAGTTCAGGTTTAAAAACACCAGGCTTTTGAAATATGGTACCAACCTGTCATTAAACCTTTCCCACAGCATGTGACTACTGGCCCCTGGGCAGATTTCCAGGGCATGTATGTAGCAGGTTCTGAGTTCTGTGGAGGAGTGGAAGTGAGTGAGAGGAGGGGACAGAGGGCCCTGCAGGCTGAAAGGGTAGAGGCAGGATGGCTGCAGCTGAGAGAGAAATGAGTCAACTACAGAAAACATGATCCAAACTGACAATCACATTTTGCCTGAGGATGCTGGCTGACATGGCAGTGACCAAATAGGCTTTTTTTCCCCCCCCTTCCTCACAAGACATTCTACAGCTGGTCAAACGAAGATCAGCTGTGGTTGACAGTGCTACAGGCAGAGCAATGCCACTTTGTGAATAATGAAATAGTTCACTCAAGCAAATATATACTTTCCAAGGGAGGTATATGTGTGTGTACGGTATATTAGATGCATTTTGATTTTTTCCTTAATAAGAAAAGAAAACTCAGGTGATTAGATGGCTCCTTAAATAATCACAGAGAACATCAGTTTTCTAAAGGTACCTGTAATCATGCTGGATACAATTAATGGTAAAATGACGAGTTTCAGCATTCTCATCAGAATTTCTCCAGGAAAGGAAAAGTAGAATTTCTCCAGGTTAGATAGCTTGCTGTATTCTCGAACCAAGACTCCTATAACAATCCCTAAGAAAAACAATGATTGGGAAGAAGAAAGAAACAACATTAGAATTTTTTTGTATAAATTTCTATGAAAAAATATCCCCCAAATACAATTTTTAGTGGCAGGATAAATAATTTTGGTGATCTCCCTTGAGTCGGCAAATAATAGACTTAAAAAACAAACTGCATTTTAAAAGGTAATGAGTAAATCTGTAAAAAAGTAAAATTCATATGAAAGCTTTTTTCATCTCCTTTCTTCCCCTTCAATTATATTATCATGACAAAACATCAAAGAATACTGTGAGAAGAAAAAAAAAGTAAAAAAGTTCAATCTTAGCCCAATATAACAATTGTTTTACACACCACTTTTATTGTCTATAGATATTTTACATATTTTATACTTTACATATCAGTTTGTATTTTTCTCATATTCTTTTAATAAAACTTTAGTAATACTCTTTTTATTGAATTAAGAGTTGATTTACAATGTGTTAGTTTCACAGCAAAATGATTCAGTTATACATATTTCTCAGATTACTTTCCCTTATAGGTTATTATAAGACATTGAGTATAGTTTCCTGTGCTATATGGTAGGTTGGTTATCTATTTTAAATATATTAGGGAAATGTTCAATATTAAGAAACAGTATGCACTCTCTGAAAGCTTGCCTTAATACAATCTCAGTTTGAACTCTTGCACTTGTGAGATGACTCTGACAACTAAAAATCACAAATTTTAAGTATTTCTTCTTTATCTTCTTCCAAACAGTTCTAAGAAGATCCAGTTGCCCTACTCCACCCTATTCCCATCAACTGTCACTCCCTACTACCTTCTATTAACCAAGAAAGAACACGAGTTGGGATGACTCACACATCTCTTTTTTCTTAATCAACCTCTGATGGATGACATGCTAATTGGAAGTAAAATGACTAGAAGGCAGGAACATTCCGGAAGGATATAACTGGATATGTTAATTTGCAAATGCAGATAATTAGTATGTGAAAATTTAGAGTTATTTGGGTACAGTTAAGAACACTAGAGCAAATGAAGAGATGTGAATTATAATCAATAGTAGAGTTTTCACTTAAATTCGGGTATACGTCTCATGCCCACTGTGCTGTGCTGTGCTGAGTCGCTCAGTCGTGTCTGACTCTGCGATCCCACGGACTAGCCTGCCAGGCTCCTCTGTCCATGGGGATTCTCCAGGCAACTATACTCGAGTGGGCTGCCATGCCCTTCTCCAGGAGATCTTCCCAACCCAGAGATCGAACCCAGGTCTGCCACATCGCAGGCGGAATCTTTATCATCTGAGCCACCAGGGAAGGCCATAAGTAACCTTATATGAAACATTCATAAGTTACATTAGATAAGTAACCTTATCTTTAGCTTTTATTTTGCTACATATTCCACCTTTGCCTTGATCTCTATTTTGTANGAAGATTTGCCAGGTTCCAAGATGCAGCCAGGATTTCACAGTGCACATCCTTCCCTACCCTTTTCCAGAGTCAGAATCTTGGAATGGATGAAGGAAAAATGGAGAGGTTTATCCATAACCAAGGGCTGCTGAGATTAAGTGCCGACCCAGGGGTACACAGGTCAGATGCACATGGTAGGGCCACTCCCAGAACCAGGGAAGATGAAGCTCAAGAGCCTTCCTGAATGGCATATCTATACAGAGGTCTTCAGCAGGTCCAGGAAGTAAGCCCAAAGGTACATTTGTTATCTAGATGGCTTTAGCCCTTTAATTACCAGGAACTTATTCTTGGGCTGCTTTTCCCCCACACAGGCAGGAAGATCCCAAGCAGGTACTAAGATGGTTGGGAAGTATATGGTGGAAGAGCACGCTCGAGTTCTGGTTCCACCACCTACAAAGTACATAACTTGGGTCATGACTTTAACTTCTCCTATTGCTGAGTGGTGGGATTGGAGGTAGGGCAAAAGGGCTGCCCTCAAAGATGCCTTTAGAGGGCCAAGATGCTGTGATCATCTCTGAGACTTAGTGTCCTCAATTTTAAAATAGGATCATAAAACCAGATCATTGGCTCCTGGAGAGCTGGCCATGTTTTTTACATGAAATGTAAACACATTGGTAAAACAAGGAAGGGAGAAACTAGGGAGAAAAACAAGACCATAGCTAGAAATTTCTTTTTTTGGTTTAAAACCTTAAACTTAGAAGATATGGACTTCTCTGGTTGTCCAGTGGTTAAGAATCTGCCTGCCAATGCAGGGGTGATGGGTTCCACTCCTTGTCCAAGAAGATCCCACATGCTTCAGAGCAAGTCCATACACTACAACTACCTAACCTGTACACCTTAGAACCCGTGCTCTGTCAGCAGGAGAGCCACCGCAGCGAGAAGCCCATGGACCATAACGAGAGAAAGCCCACGCGCAGCAATGAAGACCCAGCACAGACAAAAATAATGTGTTTTTTTTAAAATAGAAAAGATACACAGGATGTCACTGCTTCATGCCTATGTTGTCTCAAACAACAACTGCCAGTCCAGTAGCCCTGTTTTGGAGGTAATGGGGTGATTTGTTTTCCTGCAAAGTTTATTTAAAAAATATTGTTTATGAAAGAATTCTGGAGATCAAAATAAAAGGTCATAAATAATTAATTGCACGAACCTATCCACTCTTTTCCCCTCACCATTTTCCAGGTCCTACCCAAACTTTGTTCTTAAGCATGTGTTTTTTTGGTACTGTACTCTAGCAGATAACTCAACATCCTGCTCTGTTAAATACTGTCCAGCAGAAGAAAATAATTTTAATTTTAAACAAACAAAACAAAAAGAAGCAAAATCTCACCACGGCCCTTCCAACAAAGAATGGGAGCAGTTTGCTAGAGCTGCCAGGCGTCAGAGTGTGGTGAGGGGGGAGGGGCAGGGGGCAGCTGGGGTCCGAGGGCACGAGGCACAGGTCCCATGCTGGTCTTCCGGCAGCATGCACTGCCTGGGTGGCGAGCAGCGGCGGAGGGAGGGCCTCTCGTCCTCAGTCCAGGATCTGGCAGCTGAATCAGTGGCTGTGAAGCCTGATTTGTCCGCAATCAAAGGCACTTGTGGAAATCCACTCCCAGCCAAGAGTGAGTCCGTAGGGAAGCCAGTGTGGCCTCTGAAACGTCAACTGAAAGATACCACCCAGAGTTCACAGGGACTTCATGCTCTCCCTTCTTGCTTCACAGGGGCACCACCCAATCTTTGTTCTTATGCACATGTGTTCTTTCTAATTATAAAAATTAATCCGGGGATAGTACCTGAATTGCATTTGATTCAGATTTATAAAAACAGCATTGTTCCTGTTTTAGGGTATTTGCAGAAAAGAGATTAAAATCTTCTGTGGTTTTTAATCAAAGCCCCAGAATAGTTCTCTGGTTCACAGATTGAATCTGTCTTGATTAAATAAGAACTATTGGCAAAGGAAAATACATTTTTAATTACCACTGAAATAGTTATCTAGCCATGCTGTCATGTTATGTACTATTTTAAGCACGAGATTAAGCCCCTCGGGAGCTAATCTGAGTGTTGATAACCAGAAAATAAAAAGTATGGGATGAATAAAGTTATTAACAAATGGCTTGGCATACACTGAGCTTCCCTGGTGGCTCAGTGGTAAGGAACATGCCTGTCAAGGCAGGAGATGCAGGTTCGATCCCTGGGTTGGGAAGATCCTGGAGAAGAAAATGGCAACCCATTCCAGTATTCTTGCCTGGGAAATCCCATGGACAGAGGAGTCTGGCGGGCTACAGTCCATGGGGTCGCAAAAGAGTTGGACTTAGTGACCAAACAACAACAACATGCATATTCTGAATAGGTAGGATAGTTTCTCTATCCTATACTTCCACTGAAACATACCTGCCCCCTTTTCTCATTTTTCCTTTGGAGCTGAGTAGCTTCAACAATATAAGCTCTTTACATGAACTCTGACACAAAACACAGATACCTCTGTGTCTGTAAACCTTTTATTTTTAAGCCTTAAAAAATATAGTTACTGCATAAGCAATATTCTAACAACTCTACTGGAAATCAAAAGTGTTAAAAATTTACCCACAATCTCATCAACTCAAATATATGTAAAGTGAAATTGTTTTCATTTCTCATATGCTACTGAGTTGGCCAAGCAGTTCATGTGGGGGTCTTATATCTCATTTTGCCAACCATTGACTGAACTCAGGACACAGCAGTGAAAGCCTGGAGTCCTAAACACTAGGCCACCAGTGCTGCCCCCAGCGCAGCAGGTAGGGATCGAAAGCAGTTGACGTACAGTTTGGGAAAAAGAAACTAGAGACAGAATTAAAGTTTTAAAGATGGGATCAGGGGACTCAAGACCTCTTGGATCAAGAGCCCTGTTCCTCGGAGCCGCGTCACTTTAATTTAGTGTCTTGGCAAGCAGGAAGTATCTGTGTGCTACATTGAAGTCAGCCTCCTGTGTCCCCAGTCACGACTTCATTTTATTGATTACTTTAAACTATCTTTATTATTTTCTTGTACAAGGGCTATCACCTAGCTGGAGGTAATAGATCTGCATATGCCTTGGGAAAACATCGTAGTGTGGGCACAAGCAGTGTTCTGAACTTGCACTGACCCAGCATTCCAAGGTCCACACAGTTTTTCCTTAGCTTAGCAGGGTATGACGACCCCAACTAATCAGCCCAATGTATTTTTACTTGGGTTATGCTGTATTGCTATATTTTGCTTTTATTCATTTCCCATGGTGATTTTCTCAGGGCTTAGCCAGAGCAACAGGCAGGCGACTATTAACCCCTGCAAACCAGGGAACTCCCCCACTGAGTTTCAATTCCATTGTCTCTAAGTTTCATTTCTGGAAGTTACTGTATCCTTTTCACAGTATCATTTTTCTGTTTCCTAGTTTCTCTTCCATCTGTTTCTTTTTTAATCATGTTAAACATATTTACTACATACTCTTTCAGACAGTTACATCAGGTCCAGTTTTTTTATTCTCTTGCTTATGTCATTTACTTGTGTGATTTGTAATTTTTGATTGTAGATTTGTCTTTTGGGAAGGGGGTT